AAAGAGAGCCTTGTATTATTCCTAAAACATCCATTTGTGTGTGCAACCAGGGCATTGTAGACCTACCTTAGAGCAGCGTCCATTATGCTTTCCAGATAATATACCTAATAAATGACCTAGGGAAGCTTTCTGCAGGGTAGGATTTTACCCAAGCTTAGTGGTTCAGGGAGATTAAATTGTATGCAAAATAAGTTTAGGATGTATGCTATATAGTCTGTTATCTTTGATCCTTCTCTAAAACCATCTGAAATGGCTTCATTAATCAATACTTTAATTCTTTTATGTGTTCAAGGTGCAAAGTATCACCTTTCCTTAATTGGCAAATGATCAGACTAACGCATGTGCTAATATTTCTTCTGTGTTCGGGGTCAGATGTCAACTATTTTATCCTCCACAATTGTGTAACTTAGGTTGGAGGAGAGGTAAAGCATTAAAATAGAAAGAAGGAAAATTTTACTATTTGATTGCCCTAATTTTAGAAATGTCCCTAATAATTAGTTGAAAACATGAACATTAGATGGGAATAAGTGAGAGAAATATATTTATTTCCATGGAATTTTGCACATGTGAAAATTTTGTTAAATAGGACCTTAAAGATTCTAGGGTTTGTTTTTATTGTGAGAAACAAAAATCTTTTGCTAATACTGGCATTTTAAGGTAATAGAAATCAAAGACTGTTTTCCTTGGGGTTGAAGGTAGCCGCCAAAATATTCTTTACTTAGGGGCTTGGGATGTGGTTGTTGGCAACATATTTTATGGTGGGGTCCTGAATTCAGTGATAAAATTTAAATTAAAAACAAGCCAAAAACTAAAGGTTTTTATTTTTATTTTCACTAAACAGGCAATTGAAACACGTGGTACAAAAATAAGTGGTAAGATTATTGTAAAATGAAATGGACAGAATATTCCATTTAATTTTCCATCTATGAGAATTTCACAATAAAATCATAGTTTTACTTTGTATTATAGATGTGCTTGTTGGATCTATTCATCCTCTCATAAGGCAACTGAACTCAAATTACCAAATTGTTATTTGGGTGAAGATTTTTTTAAAAATGTTTCAAAGGTTTTTTTTTTTTTTTTGGCTTTACAATACGGTATAAAGGGGGAAATAATTCAGAAACTATCTTCCAAAGTAATAAACGATACAAATGTTAGTGTGACACCATGCACTTCAGTTTTATACAGCAAGTTGTTCAAACTGTCAGTTTATTCTTGGTGAGTTGGCAAAAAACATTATATGAATTTAAGATGTAAGCATATTTACATATTTAGTTTTGAAAATTTTAGTGTTCTTTCCCCCATGACAGTCAAGAATGGAATGGAGTGTATCTAAGCAAGATGTTTCCGCATGCTCCATTGTTTGCTTTTATTAATATGCCAATAAATGCAGTCTTGAAAAAAAATCCCATTCCTACCCCCTTTTCAAGTACACCCATTTCAAGCTACTATGGGCTTTTACCTAGTCACCTGTTGAACTATAAACTGTAAGTGGCTGCCATGAATTAGTTTATGTAAGAGTAAGTTAAATCTAAGCAGTGCAGTCTCTGGGAAATCCTTGCAGAATGATAGCTTTTCTGGTCTAAGCAGTAACTTCCTATTCTTTGACCTTGGATTGAAACTTCCTTAAGCATACATAACATGTCGCCATTGCAGCATATTTTTACATCAGCCCTTCTTTATGTCCCTATTTAAGCTTCAGAACAGCCCTGTGTTGTTAACATTGTATTTGATTTGCAGATGAGCTCAGCCATGGAGCTGTAACAAGAACCTAGGTCTTGAAACTAGCAATAGAGTTCTTAGTACTGCCACTTCCCTGTGGACTTAACTTTTACTAATTTAAAGGGACTACTAGGAAATTTTCCAACAGGTAAATTTGGGATTTGATAATCACACTTATGCCACCATAGGCCACTGTTGTCCTTAAGGCTAATGTGTACCCCTATGCACTGGCCAGCCAGGCCACTTGAACTGTAACTCAGCCATGTTGACTCATGAAATTGTTGCTGGCATCTTCCTAGGCTGAAACAATTTCAGCTTCAGTTTTAAGGGAGGTCTTCAACTTTTTATAGCACCGCTGGAGATGTAATTAGCCACTGTGTTGATATTCCTTAGTGGCATTCTCAGCTGGGTCTAGAATGAGCATCCTTCAGTCACACTTTATTTCAAAGGAGATGAACAAAAATCTTCTTGAGTTCATCTCTACGTAAAGTAGTACTTTCTTGGGAAACAGTACTTTATGAAATAAAGTACCCTGAAGATTTCTGTCATTACAATTACTAGGTTGAGTCGGAATATAATGGCATATGCAGCATTCAATTACTATAACTCTAGCCAGTTTGTTCCCATAGGATTGTCATCAATTTTTTTTCCCTGACCTATAGACTTATTTTCATGCCTATCAAATAGTACTAGTAAATAACTGGGTTGAACTCTTAATGGCTACCCTGTAACATACTCAGTGGAAAGTCAGTGGAAAGGCATGTACCATTTCCTAGCAAAGATCAAAGGGAAGGTGAAATATAACAATATAAAAACAGGCTATTAGACATATGTGCCTTTTTAACCAGTTCTAGGCTGTTAAAATCTATGTATGGGATCAAGATTAATATGAAGAATCATAATACAGGCAGAATCTTCATACATAGTTTAATTCTGATCATGCCCTTAAACTAAGCATTACGGTAAATCATACCATAGTAGCAGCAGGCACTTGAAATACTGAATTTTATATAGCTACTATTGAAATTTTATATCATTTCCCAGTGACTATGCAGTCTGAAATTTTAAAGCAGAAGAAGTTACATTTATAATAGGACTTTAGTTCATATGGATGTGGGTGAGATGGCATTAAAGATTATGTGGCTCAGCCCCCAAAACTAAAGTCCTAAATTTCCTTTAAAGAAAGTAATTTGGTATTAAATGTTTTGTTCTGAGGGGTATCGGAAGTTTGCTTGTGAGAGTAATTGTTCCATCATCATCTTCTTTTGATTCAAGATGACTTGTTCATTCTTTACAAACTTAAAAGATCTTCCTTTTTAAAGCACCTTCCTGAAATGAGAATCTTGAAGGAGTTTGAAAAAAGATCTTTAAGTGCTTATCTCATATATTTAAGTATGAAGAACCCTTTCCTTAAATCTTAGCTCACTATAATACTAAACTTACATGGGGGGAAATGTGCTTTTCTCATTCCATGTTAATTCATAGCCCAATAGAAATGAATTGATTTTTGTTTTTGCATTATCTGTGGTTACCAGCAATGGATGATTGCTTTGCTTTAAAAGCTACAGAATCGATGTTTTAAATGGTTGATCTGTAGATTTAATTCTATCAAGGTACTTACATGTCAACTCCCAAGCAACAAAGAATTCCTTTCTGCCCTTCACTATTTACAGCTTTAGTTTCTGTAGCTAACCAGGCTGTATGACCCTATCCATGCCCTTCCCTTCCCTGACCGTGGACTACCCTTCCACAGGAGAGTAGGAATGGAGGGGAGCATCCTCCTCAAGGTACCCTTTTTGATGGCTCATTAGTCCATAGACTTGCTGTAGCTCAATGGCAATTCCCAATGTCCCCAACACACTGTCCTTTAAGATATTAGTTAGGGAGGCAGATGGACCCCTAAGCCCTGAAGATGACAAAAGGTCTAATCCCCTAATTTGTAGAGGAATCTTCTATGAATTTAGAGAGTTAAGGTCTCTTCTAAAGTCGTCTAAATGGGACTTATAAACTTAAGCTTCATTTTTATGAAAAGACCCAAGTTCTTGACCAACCAACCAATCACTTGAGTCCTTTTGTATGCCTGAGAGTACTGAGTATTTGGTACCTTATTTCTCATACCAGCCTTCTTTACATGATCTCAGTGCATGGACTAGTTTAGGAGCTCTGTCTGCTTTTAACTGGGCAGAAGGGAAGAAAGACCTATATGACTATTAATATTATTTTATCAAAAGCCTGCAAAGCCTCATGCTCTTTGCAGACAAGCACCAAAGGAACACTTTAGTTGGGAAGTATTCGTTTTAAATGAAAATAGTAATTCAACTGCCCCTTATTTCAGGGAAGAGAAAGGCATTTTAAAGCTAGTACATTAGCTTTAAGTTTCCCCCTTGATTATCTGTTAAATGGCTCTTACTTTCTTCCTGAAAGTTTCCCACCAGCCAGGTTTTGGGAGACAGATTACATCTCTGCCTGAGAAGATGCCTGAAAGAGAAAGAGAAGCATTTGTTATAGGTAGAATGCTGCAGAGGGGGGAAATACAACAAACATTTTAGAACCAAAACGACTTGCTCAATTTCTGATACAAATACATGGACTCCCTGCTCTTGACATACTTGGATTTTATCCTTTACCTTATTTTGTCATAG